TTTATGTAGTATTATTTTAAATGTTAAAAAATTTAATTATAGTACGGAATCGAACCGAACGGAACCGAACCGAACCGAACCGAAACCGAACGGTTCCAAAATTATATTTGGAACCGATGGTTCCATTTACTAAATAATCGAAAATTTCTGAAATCGAAAAAAACCAACCCGACCCGACCCGACCCGACCCCCGCCCACCCCTAATTGCAATTTCAGTGTCCCTTTATCCATCCATGGATCTCTAGTTCACATTAGCCAAACTTATAGGCAGATAGGCGTCGTCCACTAAAAGTTCGTGCAAGAAAATAAGTACTCGTTAAAACATTGTGCTTATCAGAGCTACAAAACAAGTAGGAATACAGAGACTGAATATTTTCACTGGGTAAAACAAACTTTACTTTGGACTTTAGTGAATTGAATTTTACTGTTCCTTCGATAAATTAAGCTAGAATTTGTTTGACATCACTGACTCCACAGTATATTAAGAAAGAAAAGCTAACCAAAATCTAGATTGTTTTTGTCTAGCGTACCAAACATGCTTGAAAGGCACTAATGAAAAATTCATATTGTTAATGATCGGCACTGAAAATTTTGAGGATGATTCCATACCTATCATAAGCTTGGAATGAGCATGCATCATGAACCTTCAATGTTTTTTAGCACTCCAATATTGTGCTGCTTGATGAGGAGCGTATGGAGGAACAAACTCTCCTTCAACCTCTTGTTCCCTATCAGAAAGGCAGAAGAAATTCAAGTAATCCCTCAGGTGCCATGGTTTACCATTTTCTTTTATGGCTTCACCTATCAATCTATACATCATCTTCGTTGTTTCTCGAATCCAATGTAATATGTCCTGAATGGATTCACTCTCGTAGGGACCTCTGGCCACATTGGTATTATAACATACACAGTGAAACGCTCCTTGGCTATGATTTACTTGCGACCTTTAGTGCAATCTCAATAGGAATTAAGTTTCGGCATCCACAATTCTTATTTTCCTCCAAGAGATGGCATCATCCGATGAAATACTGATTCTCTATGTATATAAAATGTCAGCTTGCCTGATTGGATACTTCGCTCATTTTGAGGTTTTTAGGTACAAGCTAGCAGAAACATGATCCATTGGGCAAAAACTTGGAGTTCCGGTCCCTCCCTGGGGAAATGCTTGGAGATTTCTGAAATGGATCTTATTGGAACAAGCAAAGATGGATCTGACTGCTATATCCATCCTTGCTCGAAATTGGCAAAGTATATCTCAAGCAGCTTGGCCCGTGACACAGGCATGTGTATCGTGCCATGGCTCTCTTGGTCCTCCTTTGCGAAGGCTAGCTCCCGGAAGGCTAGTTTGTTAAAATCATAAAAATGGGATTCTGTGTTAAGTGTTTGAAACAACGAATTATCACATCGTCCATTGCAAAGATCTAAACCACCAAGAAAGCTCTTGATTTCTCGATATGACAACTCTCCATGTGTGTCCACAGTTATTTTTTTTTATGCATGAAAACTGCGGGGCATTTGTTGTTTAGCCTAGGAGACAATTTGCATACTAATTTAGTGTACTTGAAACAGGCTGAAGCATCTTCATCGTTGGTTCTCATTACTCCTTTATTCTTGATGAATGGTAAGGATGTTCCGTCGTCCCAAAGCATAATTCTCACAGACACACCTTCCTTGGCTTTCTGCTTCAATAATTCACCAAGCTTTACACCTCATGCAAGGGGAATATCTGTTTGTGGATCACGTACCTAAAAACCCCATGTTAGGTTTAGAATATTCGAGGGAAATGATGGTGACAGTTTTCGTTTTGCACTTACCAGAGCCATTTTAGGATTGAATAACCACCCTGCAACGGGAATCAAATGCTTTGCATCCTTAATTGCTTTATATATCTTCCCACAAATTTCTAGGCGCCTCGTGAAGATCAAATGGTGGTCGGAATGTAGGTCGTTGATGAGCATCTTGATATAATATAACACTGCAATTTCATCTTTTGGGAAATGCTGCATTTTTCAACCCCTCAAATCCACCATTTTCTAAAAAAGTAATGTTATTCATCCTCACTGGGGTTATAAATACAGTCTATGTGACGTTAATGTGGCATTAAATAATAGGTGAAATTAAATAAGTCAACATTTTATGTAAACTATCATTTAGAGCTACCTAAACTGTGTTTGTAACACCACTGGAGATGAATAACATTACTCTTTCTAAAAACTTTTCCCCAACTCGCTTCATATTCTGTTGGTTTAAACCATAAGATGAATTGTAACTTGAGTTTCTTGATTGGCTTTCCATTTTCTTTGCTGAGAGGGAAGAATCCATTGATTAGACTTGTCTCATTCAGAAGCTTTTCGGCCTTAATATCGATTTTTCCCAGGATTAATCAGATGGATGAGCACAAAGGATTTGAAAATTTTGGTTTCAAACTCTGTCCCTTTCACGGCTAGTTTTTGCCACCTTTTTGTTATCTATCTTGATGGTCACATAGGCATACTTTCGTACAGTATATATGCATTGTAATGACACAATGAAAATGTAAGGCAATAAACCAACGGAAGCAGAAATATATTCACTAAGAATAAACCAAGAATTTCACAACACCAAGTTGTATATCAAAACATAGGGCACAGAATTTCAAAAAGACATGATACCCGTCTGTACAAATGAATTAGCCACAAGAACCACACTAAAACCCTAACAAAAAATGCACAAAGCAGCTACTCAATGGCCCAAAACCATTACAGCCTATCTAACCTCACTAACATCTCAATAGAACAATCACCAAGACTCAAATCACCAAGATTTGTGATTAAAACCTTTGGTTTTAATCAAGATCACAAAGAATCGAAAGGGACGACAGAGAAGACGCGAGATAGAGAATCCAGAAGCTTCCCTCACACTCAGCAAAGGAATAGAATGAATCATCACGAAGAAAAAGACCATCCAACTCCTTATATAGACAACATCATCACTGTAGATTAGGCAGCAAATCTACGGACCAGAGCAACACCCATGACATTTGAGTTGGGCCGGGTTTTGGGCTAATTTCCTTTGAGTTATTGGGCAATGGTTTTAGTTCCAAAAAATTCGAGCAATGGGCCAGGCCCAATTCATCATTACCCTATAGTTGAATATAAATGACAAAATTGGCATCAATATTCAACAGAAAAATGACAATTAGAAAAAATTTGATAGATTAAATTCAAAGCTGCACAAACTAAAATTAATTTGCCTTCACGAAATACGTTATATCTTCTAAATTGTCACTATAATAGCCATGTTTGTAATAGCTTCTTCTTATTGTTTAAAAGTTTGACGAGAAAACCATCTCAAGCAAGTTTTCTTTAAAAGCTCTTTTGACTGTTGTGTATTTTCCATTGTTAGTATACGATTTCTTAAACAAGTAATATAGTAGAATTATGAGTCCGAATGATCGTTCTCACGAAAACTATTAACTAGTCGCTTACTATTTCTAACTCCTAATTGATTAAAAAAAAAGGAATGGTGTTTGAAAAGCACACAATTGACTCAAACTAGGGTTTTAACATATGAATGTGAATGTTAAGACTTATTATTTCATCCAGTGATAACCTTTAATTCATATATCAAGATTCATTACTAATATAGTAGTCGTTCTAATTCTTCTTTATTAATTAAAAACCCTCTCTTAGCTCAAATTAATGCATTCAAGTTCTAAGAATCCTATTAACGACCGCAATAACCATAAAAGCGTATGTCTAACCTTTATCCACAATTGATCAGAATAATTAAACTACAAGAATTCTGAAAATTGAAATAAAAGAGTCACATAGATTATTACATCATTTGTCTTAACTAATGATTTAGTTACTTGTACTAATGAAGAAAAACAATTAAAAAGAAAAAGTTTATCACCGAATTTTGAAACAAAGATAAAGAAATGAAATGAATAGGATATTGCACCTAGAATCTTCTTCACCATGCCCAAATCTTGAAAAACCTAAATTTTGCTAATTGATCTTGAATTGCTATATGTTTTTCTCTCTCAATTTGTGTCTCTAACAAATAAAAGAATAACGATAATTGTATATAATAGTTAAAAATGTCTTAAATGAGTCAAAGATGTTTTCTATGTAGAATATGAATTGAACTAGGAAATCACAAAAATCTGAAATTTTTCCCTCACATATACTCATGCGATTGCACGTGTACTTTATGCGATCGCATAGTTTGCTTATTATGAGTAATATTCTTGCCTCAAGCGATTGCAGTTGTTTAAACTGCTGCGGTCGCAATGGTCATAAATCTTTCAAGTTGTGCATTTTGGTCGTTCTTTAATTGTTGACTCATTCCATGTCCTTCTCTATTTGCATGGTGAGACCTACGCTTTTCATATTTTGTACAACTTCGATCCAATTGATCAAAACTCCCCCCTTTTTCATCCATTCACTTCTAAACCAGGTTTTCTCCTAAATTAATTATCAAATAAGTAAAATTAAGTATCTTTCAATATTAGCACTCCCAAATGCCCATGTTTTATGGCTCGAGTAAGTGTGAAATACTCTTAAATTTGAACATTTATTTGTCCTCGAATAAAACAAAAAATAAAATCCAACTAATCTCTAATCATACTCATCTCAACTCGAAATATGTTGTCAATGTTTTCTCAAAGTGAATATCTAAATCTCAAAATTCAAACAAGAGAATGAATAGGTATTTCACAAACTACACATATCGTATATTCAGCTTTTGAGTATGTGATAATCATTCTCAATTCGACCAATGTTATTTGAATCTAGTTACGCACTTCAAATCCCAAAGTACATTTTCCCAACAAAATCAAGTCCTGAATATGTCAATGTAATCTCTTCACTCGTATTTTCAATTTCTTTTTCTTGAATGATAAACTAAACAAGAGAGATAGAGCTTATTTTCATCATCAACTCAACCACTCTTCAAATCCCTATTCGATGACCAAGACTTAACCGGATAGAGACAATACTTATTAATTATTTTGTCAATATCTCAACACACTTTGGTGTCTTTCAATTTATTTATTTTGTCAATTCTTCTATTTTTGGAATTTTTCTGAATTTTTAGTTCAATTTTCACTCTATACTGTAGGAAGTCTTCTTCCCCTATAGATCATCTCCTATACTCTATACTCCATTTGGCTTTCATTTTGATTATTTATTTATCTAAATGAGGCAGTTTAAAGTTTTTCTATTCTTCTAAAAAAAAAATTACATGGGGAAAGGGATTATTCTACTTGTACATTGGGGGCTACATAAGGCTTGACATAATGGCCACATGGTAGCCCCCTAGTGTCTATTTTAAATTAAAGTCTTCAAAAGTCAAATAAATTCTACAAAAGTTTCTAATGAAAGTATACAAAAGCCTACGAAACAGTTTAATTAATTTCATACAAATCTATAAAAGTTCATAAAAGTCCACAAATCCCCTCAATAAAGTCGTTTAAAAAATATTCAAAAGTCTTAATTAAGTGCATGTTTGACGCACATTAATTTATTTTATGGTATGCTATAAGATCATTTTCAATCACATTCGTACATTAAATTATTCTGCACGTAAACAAAACCAAAAAAAAAAAAAAAATCATACATTTTAACTACACATTCTCCTAAAAATATTATTTAAAACTCATTTTTTTTCTCAAATAAAATTGTGTATCTTAATATCGTGTTAAAATCCATTAAATTAAAAAAAAAAAAAAAAATTGAAGATGGATGCTTTCACCCTTTAGTGAGCATTTAACGATAAAATTCTTAGTTTGGCAGTTGGTATTTGGAATGGAGTGATTGGAAGAAGATATTTGTAGAATTGTGCTTAGTTTAATGGTTAAAATAAGAGGAAATTGGACAACTTTCCCCGTCATTTCTCGTTAAATTATAATTCATTTTTTTCCCTCTTCTTATAAATCATACATTTTCCAATAAAATAATATTACACGTAACTAAAAAAATTCCTCTTTTTAATCACATATTTTTTAAAAATTACTATTCATCTCATTACAATGTAGAATAATGAGGGCCAAACAGGCGTTGAATCTCTATGTGGGGCTTATATCTCAGGCCAAGGTCGTAACTTTACAAGACCAACACGTTGCACTGCATTCTACATATTTTTCTTCTAAACGTCAACAACTGAAAATCGGCTACACTGATTTTGACAAAAAAATTAAAATTAGGACAGATGGTAGAATATCTCAACTTTAAAAATGAAGTTCTGGTTCCCAACATATTTAGCCCCTATTTGGCCCCCATTATTTTGCATTTTTTGAGGGTTGAAAATTTTTAGAATAGTGATTGATGGGAGAATGTGTGGTTGAATTTTTTTTTATTTGTGTGTAATATTATTTTATTTGATAAATGTGTGGTTGAAATGAGGAGAGAGAAAAATTTAATGTAATGTAATATAATTTAATGGGGGCCAAACAAGGGCTTAAATTTGTAAATTTGAGTTTTCATGTTTATGAAATTGATAATACATATGTTAATATTTCAGGTACCTTTTTTAGTTTTATTGAAGAAAAATGCTAAACAATTTGACGGTATAGATGTTCAGTCACACAAAAGTCGTGTGTGGTTTTATCTTCTACATGGACAATTTCCACCATTTGAGAACTCATATTCATATAGGAATGTGAATTTGACTCGTTAGCTCGGGCCGCCCATGGCTTGACCCGAAAAAGCCCCGAGCTAGCCCAGCCTGAGGCTAGATAGAATCGAACCGAAGCTCAGGCCACGCCCCCAATTTGGGGGATCGAGCCGAGCCGGCCCATGTGACTCGTGTAAAATTTAAAAAAAAAAAAAAATTGAAATGGAAAGGAGGAAAGTAGCAACTACTATTTAAAGGCAGCACATGTTATATATAAAAAAAATTTAAAAATAAAAAAATCGACTAGCTTGTTGAGGCCCGAGTAAAAGCCAGTGCGGAGCGGCTCGGGCCAAAAAAGCCCGAACCCATTTTGCTCGAGCTGAGCCCGGCTTCAAATTTCAGCTCGTGGTTCAGTTCGTTGCCACCCCTATATTCATATATTTTTGAATAGTTTGGAGATTCAAAACTTAACTTCTGAAGATTGAGGACTAATCACGTGAAAAGTTGGATGTACAATCCCTTCTTAAACAAGAGCATGTAATAAACAACTAAATTAATTTGGGTGAAATTGCCGCTTCTCAATTTTCAGGATAAAACAGTTTGACCGATTGGTCATACTTTTTATAAAATTGGTAAAACAAACAGGGAGTACTATTAAGCCCCTGTTTGACACTCATTAATTTTTCATCCTCAATCTAATTCTTATTCTTCATTTCAATCATACATTCTCCAAATAAAATAATATTAAACACAAATCAAAAAATTTTCATCACTTTNACACCCATTAATTTCTCATTTTCATTTTCATTCTTTTTCTCATTCTTTATTTCAAACACACATTTTTCAAATAAAATAATATTACACACAAATCAAAAACTTTTCATCACTTTTCCACCACACATTCTCACATCAATCATTATTCAAAAATTTATATTGTGCTCAATATAAAATTCAAACACTATTGTCACATAAATAGTTAACGTGGACTTTAAATAGTAAGCAATTTTCTCATTATTTAAGGTGGAGGAAAAAATCGTCTTAGATTTAAAACGAGGACTCAGATCACAAATGTTAATGTGACTTTCACGTACATGTTTTAACATACTCATTGACAGTTTTCGTGGCTTTCATGAGGACCTAAACTCATGTATTCAAAATAGTTTGGAGAGTAAAAATACTAATAACAATAAAATTATATATATATATATATATATCAATTTCAAAGATTTGAAAGCCAATACCAATCTAATTGAAAGGTGAAGGAGTAACAAGAAAATGTGTTTTAATTTCTATTTGGTTCAACTAAAGATTTTGATTAAAATTTAAATTAAAGTCAACTACTCACCATTATCAACCATACATTCCATCAACTTTTACAAAAATCTAATTTTTTTTTTCATGTAAATCAAACAGGGACTTAGAAAGATTGACCAAAATCCTTGGGGTTAATTTGTAAATATTAAAACTTCATGTCCTTGTGTTGCAAAACAAAGCAGGCCAAATCTAAAAGCTATTAAACAAAAATGTTCATTTCAATGTTAAACCCCACCTCTTTAGAAGTAATTTATTACCAATATCCCATTCCAGCAACCCTTATACACAGCCCTCTACTCGTCGCCATTCTCCATTTTCTACTGCCGCCGTCAAAACAAGATGAGCTACGGCACCATCCCCACCTCCTCCTCGTCGACCGGCAATCCGGTGAACCTCGAGTATATCTCACGCGCCAAGGAACGCGTTAAGGCTGGCCTTGGCACGCGCCGCCCCTGGCGTGAGATGTTCAATTTCCGCTGCTTCAACCTCCCGTCCACATCCGGCGCTTTCTCTCGGATCAAAAAGAACTTAGCATTCTTCCAAATGAACTACGCAATCATTATTCTGTTGATTGTGTTCCTGAGTCTCCTCTGGCACCCGATTTCGCTTATTGTTTATATTGTAATGATGGCGATATGGCTCTTCCTCTACTTCCTCCGTGATGCGCCACTGGTGATCTTCGGCTGGCTAATTACCGACCGTGTGATACTTATTGTGTTATCGGTAGTTACGATCATTGTTCTGCTGCTGACTCGCGCCATCACTAATATTCTGGTGTCGCTGTTGGTCGGAGTGGTAGTGGTTCTGATTCACGCCGTCGTGAGAAAGACGGATGATCTCTATGTCGATGAGGAGGCTGCCGGCGGTTTGTTGACATCTCCGCCCGGTGGTCCTTCTTCGTGAAATTGAAATTGTACTCTTTTTTTTTTTTTTGGTTTTTCCACTTAAGAGTTGTTGAATTGTTTTGTACTTTCAATATTTGGTCTAAAATTATTGTTCGTCGTGATTGACTTGGGTATTTTTGTACTTTAAGTTGATGTTCGTAGTGGTGGCAATCGAGTCGAGCCAGCTCGTGGG